ACTTGAGAAAATCATCTCAAAAGAGGAGGAAAAATTTGTTTTGGATCACAGTTTCAGAGGTTTCAGTCCATGGTTGGCTGGCTCCATTGTTTCTTTGTTTTTCCATACTGAGAATTGAACTGAGGGGCACTCGACCACTGAGCCACATCCCCAGCCCTATTTTGTATTTTATTTAGAGACAGAGTTTCACTGAGTTGCTTAGCACCTCACTTTAGCTGAGGGTAGCTTTGAACTCACGATCCTCCTGCTTCACCCTCATAAACCACTGGGATGGGGGCATGCACCACCACACCTGGCTATTTCTAGGCCTGTAATGAGGCAGAACATTGTGGTGGAGCAACGCTGCTTACTTCATGGAAGCCAGGAAGCAGAGAGAGAGAATGGAAGGGACCAGGGACAAGATCTAGTCCCCAAAGTATTCCCCCAAGGACTTACTCCCTTCTACTAGGTCCCTTATCAGAGAGCTTCCACCACCTCCCAGTTGTTCGGTCAGCTACGAATCCACCAGTGGTTGATGAGATTCAAGAGCTCATGATCCATCACATCTCTAAGGCTCCTTTGAACATTGCTGCATTGGGGACCAAGCCTTCCACGCAGCTTTAGGGGGACATTCCAAATCTAAACTATGACAGGTGGCTTCCTATGGCCACACTACCCACTGCAGGACTACAGACACATGCAGGGGATTGGTACATAAGTGAAGTGAGGTGGCAGGGGCTCTCAACAGGTTTTTATATCAGCCAGCTCTCTTACCTTAAAAAAGATCAAATCTCTGGGACTGGTTTTCCATATTGTATGGCACCATCTTATGATCATTTCTTCCTTTGTCCTTGTCCTTAAAGAGACGAGACCGACTGCTTAGACAGTCCATCTGATTCCATGATGGCTAGAATTTATACTGGAGAAATGAGCATGGCACAATCAAATACAGATGATTTTCATCTCCCCCCCCCACCCCTAATTCATCTGGGGACATGTTTGGTTCTCTCTACTGTCATGGAGCTAGCTGCCTCCTGACTCTCGGGATCTTTAGAATGCTTTAAGACATTCTTGATTGGATCCCACCCCCACCCCACTTCCCATTCCTCAGTCCTAGAGGACTGCACTTCAGCCTTTCCTGTTTCCCTTGAGCTCTGCATCCTGCATGTGGGCACTGGGACTGAAGTCCAGCTGGAGTTCTGGAAGGGTTGGCGGTACAGAAAGTGAATGGGCCATACTTGTTATGTAGTGGGAAAAATTTCAAATTAGGAGCTCAGTCACAGACTTTAGCTGGCCTGGTTCAAGCTCAGTCACACATAGTTGAGAGAAGTGTCACCTAAGCCATGAGTCAACGGGCGCACTGATCCAGATGTCTGGGCCTAGTGCCCCTGCGCTCATGCGGCTGCCTTACAGAGCACATCTGGAGCTGGACTTTCTGGAGGAGAAACACAACTGAACTGTGAGCATTTGAAGGGCAATTTATACATTTGTTGTGAATTATTCAGTCCCCAGCATCAGACCTTTGTCTGCTAGGGACATAAGCATTCAGCCTACACGAGGGCATGCTTCACAGAACCTGGAGAACTTTGGACTCATCCCTGCTCATTCAATGAGAGTCAAATCTGGAGCGGAAAGGTCTTCGTTTCCTTTCCTGAACTAAAATGACTTCACAAAGAAGTGTTTTCGGAGAAGGTGGCTCAGGTGCCGGAGGCCTGCTCACCTGAATAGTATCAACATTTGAAGTTTGGTTTATTTTTGTCCTAAGGAGATAAAACTCAGTAGATCTGATCAAGAGTGAGAAATTTTAAAAAAAGCAAAAAAAAAACTTTTTGAGGGCTGGAGTTGTAGCTCAGTGGCAGAGCACTTGCCTAGCATGTGTGAGGCACTGAGTTTGATCCTCAGCACCACATAAAAGTAAATAAATAAAATAAAGGCATTCTGTCTATCTACAACTACAAAAATTTTTTTAAAAAAAACTTTTTGAGTAGGTTCTTCTATGTATGTGTATACACGTACACATATGTACGTGTATTTCAGGTTTACATTGAGTTTTGTAATTTGGTTTGTTTGAGTTCTTTTAGTTTGTACTTTTAAATTTTTCAAATTAAGGTAAAATGCATGTGACATAAAATTTACCATCTTAGCCTTTTTTAGTGCACAGTTCAGTAGTGTGAAGTACATTCACATTGCTGTGTAACCAAGCTCCAGAATTCTCTTCATCTTATAACAATGATGCTGTCGTGTATAACAAATTAGAAATAATTAATTAATTTAAAAAATGAAACTCTAGGCTGGGTGCTGTAACACATGCCTGTAATCCCAGAGGCTGAGGCAGAAGGATGGCAAGTTCAAGACCAGCCTGGACAGCTTAGGGAGACCCTGTCTTAAAATAAAAAATGGAAAGGGATGCAGATGAAGCTCGGGGGTAGGGTACGCCTCGGTTCAATCCTCAATACCAAAAACAAAAATGAAACTCTATACCCATTCTCCTCTCCCTCAACCCCTGGCAACCGCACCTCTATTTCCCATCTCCATGAATTTGACTACTCTGGGTACTTTGTGGAAGTGGAATCACATATTATTTGTCTTTTTGTCACTGGCTTATTTTATTTAGCACACTGTCCTCAAAGTTCATCCCTAAGTCAGAATCTCTTTCCTTTTTAAGGCCAAATTGTACTACATTTTATTTGTCCATTAACCTGTTGATGGACATTGGGTTGCTTCCACCCTCTGGCTGTTGCAAATAATGCTGCTCTGAACATGGGTGTGCAGACATCTCTTTGAGACCCTGCTTTCTGTAGCTTGTGTTTTTAAAATAGAGTGAAAAAAATGAGCCTGGAAGAATTCTGTTGCACAATATCACACACCTTCACATTTTTAATCATTTGGAAAAAATCAGGAATGCAGTATTATCTTAGTCTGTTTTCTGCTGCTGTAACAGAATACTGCAGACTGGGTGGATTTATAAAGAAAAATGGTAGGTACATGGTGGCAATGGTGCATGCCTATTATCCCAGCAACAGAGGAAGCTGAGGCAGGAAGATTGCAAGTTGGAGGCCAGCCTCAGCAACTTATTAATACCCTGTCTTAAAATTAAAAATAAAAAGGGCTGGGGATGTAATTCAGTGGTAGAGCACCCCTGGGTTCAACCCTAGGACTATAAAAGAAACAAGGGAAGGAAGGAAAGAAAGAAATTTGTTTTACATAGTCTGGAGGCTCAGAAGTCCAAGATTAAGGGGCCAGCATCTGGTGAGGGCCTTTTTGTTGTGGAGGGCATCACATGATGAGGGTAAGGAAGTACACAGGCTCAGGTCTCCTTTCCTCTTATTATAAAGCCAACTAATCCCTGTCGGGGAGCCCCATCCTCCCAATTTCATCTGACTCCAATTACCTCTCAATGACACCACTTCCAAATACCATCAACATGTGAATTTGAGGGTTGAGTTTCTAGCATATGAACTTTAGAGGACTCATTCAAACCATTGCAGGTGATAACTTCACCGAGGAGTGTATATAACTTCTGAGCACTGTCACTCCTCAAGGGCTTCTGGTGCAGTTGGCAAGCAACATGGGAGTGCTTAGAGAATCACCATTAAATAAACAGGCAGCCGTGCATCAACGACTCCAATATGGGGCAGAACTGGCAGTTATACCAAGTATTGCTAAAAGCCACCATTCCAGTTTCCCCTCACACAGACTAAGTCCCACACTCTTTCCCCAGGCCAAGAAGTCACATGGCCCCAAGGGAGAATCCCTAATGTCCAGCCACAGTCTGTTCCACCACTATGTGCCCTTCTCACTGGCAAAGATCTGTAACATCTGTGATCCTGTTTCTAAGTCAGGGACAGGGACAGGGGCTCAGGGGTTGCTGAAATAATTTCATGAATACGTTGATCGCAGAAATGATCTGTGAGTGTATCTTAGAGAAGAGGGAGCCAGCCAGCTTTGTGGACAGATAGGATTCCTCCCCTGCCAAAAACAGCCTCTTTCATGCCCTACATTGTCTGCAGGCATGTAAAAGCCATATTCTCCATCATTTGGCATTCAAATAGCTAAGTCGGCTGCACTCTCAGCTCAAAGATGATTGGGGAGCTGAAGTGTTAGCATTCTACCCTCCTGCCAGGAGGAAAGGGAATCTGGTTCAGGGACCAAAGCAAAGCTTATTCATCTCATCTTTTAAGACCCCAAGACAGAGTCCTCCACAGCCCCCCAGACACAGGGTCCTCCAGCATTAAAGAGCTGCAGAAATCAAATGCACATCCATCACAGGAGAAATAGCAGGGAAGTGGGGCAAAGGTGACAGATTCTGAAGAGTGAATGCACACCTTTGTGCTCTTGCCTTCTTAAAATTCATCCTCTCACCTGCCAGCCTTGAGAATTGCCTATTTACATAACTAGCTGCCTAAAATGGAATATTGGATAATGGTACATGGCGGCTCACTCAATTTGAGCCCATCCCCGGGATATGAGAGTGATCCAGAAGCCCTCCAACAGCATGGAGTGCGGCGGGCTGGCCTGAAGCCATGCCTCCGTGGGGTGTGATCCTGTCAGCTCTCCGGAGCTAAGCAGATGTCAGGTCGATCGGCTGGGGTGGGAGACTAGTGAACAGGGGGAAGGGAACCTTATTCAGCTGTGGCACACTGTCTGCAGGGGACAGACAGTGTCTCTGCCTGGGCTTCACAGCGGATGCCCTTGTTCTGCCCAAGGTGCTGTTTCAGAGACCCACACATAGGACCTGAGAAAGAGGAGAATCACAGGATCCATGGGGACAAGCCAGCACGGGAGGTAATCAGTCAGCTCTGATGCTATCCTGGGCACTGTGCCAGGCTCACACCCCCTGTTGGTCCTTTCCACAGCACAAATCTCTATCCCATCAAAACTGGAATCATGCTGCTTGCTTATAGGAGGAGTATAAATAAGTGATAAGGAAGTGTTCTGATAATGATAAGCGGCTATAGCTCTTCAGCAGACCAGATGTATCAAAGAAGGCAATTGTGTATGTTTGTTCATTTATTTTTCAGCGTTCCGGTTCCTGTAGTCAGTTTAGAGAAAATTCCTAACCTAGTGAAGGCAGATGGTGCCAATGTCAAAATGAACTCTACAACCACTACTGCAGTCACCTCCTCCTCCACCTCCTCCTCTGCCGTCTCCACCCCTCCTTTAATTAAGCCCATCTTGATGTCCAAGTCAGTGCCACCTTCACCAGAGAAAATCCTAAATGGCAAAGGAATTCTGTCAGCCACAATAGACAAGAAACACCAAAATGGCACCAAAAACAGCAACAAGCCTTACCGGAGACTTTCAGGTATGTGTCAGTGTCATTAGAGTCTGGCTCATGATATAAGACTTTAAAGTTGAGTCCCATCTGTAACCAAAGGAGTGTTCTTATAATTAAGCAGCTCTGTTTTATTTTAAGGGGGACATGGAGCTATCTGCAAACAGGACCTCCACCTAAAAGTGCAAGGAGAACTGCCTCTTATTCCCAGGCAAAGTCCCTTTGCTTGGTTAATTGCTTAGGAGAACTTATTCCAGCCACCCCGGGAGTGAGATGCTCTGCACTGACCTACAGTCTGTGGACTTAGAGGGTCTCCTTAGCAGGTGGCTCTGTGCAGCCAAATATGCTGACAGGTTGAAGGTCCTTGGCTCCCACAGAAGCTTCACGGCTATAAAGTTGGACAGTCTGCAGGGATATTTCACAGTGGCTCTGGGCATGCTGGGACAGCCTCATCAGAAGAATGCTACACAGGGAGATGCACCTCTGTCCTTTGGCCTTGTGGGTTTCCAGGTTGACTCTGCAGTTGGGGCTTTTACAAATGCCCTTTCCCCATAATCAGGTCAGAGTTCTCAAATGGGAGACTCAGGCTGGCACAGCAGATGGGGCATTGGGAGGTCTCTCTTGGGCCTACTCCTCAGTTGTCCAAGCAGACACATGACCACTCTTTGAGTGGCTCCCTAGAGGCCCCTTATGGATGATGTTTGCTTTGGATCTGTTGTAGAACTAACTTGGGCAGTTCTGCTCTCTCTAAATGACCAGGAAAAGCTATAAACTTCATAATATCTCCACACACCATGAGGTCTATCTAATGGTAGCCAGAAAAAAATAAAATACAGTGAAAGCCATCCCGTGAGAGAGAAACCTTCTGGTTATAAGCAAGTCTGGTTATTTTGGTTTTTGGTTTTTGGAGGGTGGTTTTGTTTGTTTGTTTGTTTGTTTGTTTGTTTTGGTACTGAGGATTGAACCCAGGCGAGTTTAACCACTGAACTACATCCCAAGCCCTTTTTCATATTTTTTAGAGACAAGGTCTTGCTAAGTTGCTTAGGGCCTTGCTAAGTTGCTGAGGCTGGCTTTGAACTCGAGATCCTCCTGCCTCAGCCTCCCAAGTCGCTGGGATCACAGGCATGCGCCACTGCTTGCGCCCAGCCGTGAGCAAGGTTTTTAAGCACCCAAGGAACTGTGGGTAATTTTTATTTTCTACTTTGTGTTTATCTGTATTTCTTGTTTTTCTATCTTACATTTGAAACTCTATAAAAAATCATATATTACAAATACCTCAGGCCCAAAGCATTCAAATGGAAATAGTGCCCTGCCCCCTTCTCCATGTCCTAGCCACCCACTGAGAGGGAAAGGTAGAGTGTGGTGCTCTGTGAGCACTCTGGGGCCTTGCTCTCCCTGCATGGAAGTGCAATGTCAGTGGGTGGGGGGAGGGGGGCAGCGAATAGGCCTGGGCACAGTGTCCAGAGGCCACGGATCCCTTGTTGCAGCAGAAGCATGATCTTGACTTGCAGCCTGTATCGCAATCTGAGTTTGTCTGGGACTTTCCTGAGGACTATTGGTTTTGCACTTGGTTAGTTTTCTTGTCTCATTGGGTCTTTTGCTTGTTTCTACCTCACTCTCACATTTGGCATCCAATTCCATCCCCCAGCCAATAACTCGCTCAGCTCTAGGCCAGCATGAGGTGCTGGTGTGGGTCTGGGCACTGGCCGGACTCTGACAGATCCAAGGGGGAAGGTCCTCCACGGCGCAGCCTGGGACCTGGCACGCAGACACTCACTGCCTGCTGGGCAGAGGGATCCAAGGAAACCAGCATCTCCAGACCTAGCAGTTTTCTTAAAATGAAGATTGTAAAAAAGGAAGGCAAAAAGCACAAAGGAGGGAGGGAAATACTTGGATATCCTTGGGTGTAAGAATGATTTCATGCCCACAGCATCATAGCTACTGTTGCAACCTCCCCTCCTGACCCCCAAACCTTCTTTGAAAATAGAACACATTCATTTATTATGCTCTGAGTTTACTCCACCAATTGCAGTTGTTGACTGGGTAACCTCTCTTGAATTTGGAGCTCTTCGAGGCCCAGCAATAGTACACCACCCATTTCCACACACACCCAGAGAGCTGTGGACTTCCTCTCCGCAGAACCTGGGTGTTCACTGGGTACCTTCCAGAAACAGCACAGGCCATCCTAAAACCTAACGGGTCCTTAAAAGATTGCCTCATGTCCCCACATTTTCCAGGTATGGAGAACATATTTGTTATCCCAGAAGGGAGGAAGGATCCCCAATGGGCATAAAAAGAACTGATTCCTTAGAAGTAGCCTCCACATGAGCCATCAACCATCCCTTCAGACCCAGGACCTGGGTAAAGCCACATCTCCCCACACAGGGCCCTTCCTCCCCAGCTGCCCTGTCTTATTCTCCTGAAGGGCTTCAGAGCCAGGGCTAGGGATGGAGCACAGGTTCACTCACAGGAAAACACACACTCAGCTTTTCCCTGCCTCTGCCTGTATTTAGAATGTTCCTGAATCAGGTAAATGACTTTGTTGGTCTGTGCAGGTGTGTGGAAAGCCCCTGCTGAGTGCTTTGTAAAGCATGGGAGAGGCAAGTCACACTGACATGTCAAGGAACCATCTCCCACTTAAATGGCTAAATTAGCAGGAAGGCAGGGGTGGAGGCTAGGGTGTATGCAGCAGCCCAGGGAGAAGAGACCCTTGGGTCTCAGGTGACACTCCCTGCTCTGCAGCCACTATGCCCCACGTGCCAAGGACCTGTATGGACCATTCAAATAAAATGAAGTGTTGCAAGCAGTACAGTTCCTTTTCTTCTGGTGCCCTCTCCCACCCTAACCCTGGTGCCCTGTGCTGGGCTTGGAAACTCTGCCTTCAGAGGGGACTGCCATTTTCCCCTACGTGGGTCTTGAGGCATTTTAGTAGCAGCCGGTTGGGAAAAAAAGAAGAAGAAGAAGAAGAAAAAACAGATTGCCTGACAATGTCTCACTTGTTGGTGCAAATGTGCATTTTTTAAAACTGTAGTCTTAATGCCAAATCCTATTTAGTCTCCTTTTTTCTTATATTTTTTGTTTGTTTCTTAAACCAGAGAGAGAATTTGACCCAAATAAACACTGTGGAGTATTGGATCCCGAGACAAAGAAACCTTGCACAAGATCCCTCACCTGCAAGGTATTTCTCTTTCCATAAAAAATACTTCCTGCTCTTGCTGGGGCCTTTGTCGAAATGTTTGCATGCCACTCTCTGCACACGGCAGGGTGTGGAACCTCGACATGACCTCCAGCTGTTCTTTGTAAGGGAAATGCTTTCTTCTCGTCCATGGTAGCAGAGTGCCTGCCTCAAGCTGGCTGGCTTTTTAAGGAGAGGAAAAAAAAAAAAAAAAAACTAGGCTTCCCCTGTTACTTGGGAGGCCAGACAGTAAATTGTATTTATAGGCACTCACAGGCGGTTCTAAAGCCTGCTACGTTTTAATGTATGCAGGAACGGCGGCGGCGGCGGCGGCGGCAGCGCCCTGAAGGGGAGGATGAGATGCCGCGCCCCTGATCCAGCCACACGGGGTGGCCAGGGGAACAGCGGACCCAGGGCGGCCGCCATTGGGTAGCCCAAAGCCCCACATTTCCTTCTGAACTGCTAGTGCTTCTTGGGATCGAGGCTATGGCCCTCTCTGCTTGGTGGCTCGGTTTGTCTGGGCCGACTCGAGCCTCCCACCTGCACCTGGATTAACTCTAGCATTCCCTCGCGGTTGCCTTTCATCAGAGAGGTTTTCCTGGGTTCTGCGCTGAAGCTCGTCATCTCAGGCCATGTTTTTGGAGGAAGCTTTGGCTTCTTAGCACCAGGAGTGTAGGGCATGGTTGCGTCCGTGTGTGGTCTCTGCCTCTTCCCAGCCACAGAGCAGGAGCTGTTGCCTTGAAGTTGACTTTTCAAGCACCTCTAAATTCCCATGATTGCTATTTCTGAAATGCAGGGCCTGGGGAAGCAGGTTTATGTGCTGATCAAAGAGGCTGTGCTTCTCATCTCTCTTCTCCTTAGACACACTCGCTAAGCCATCGGAGGGCAGTCCCGGGCCGGAGAAAGCAATTTGACCTCCTCCTGGCGGAACACAAAGCCAAGTCCCGGGAGAAAGAAGTTAAAGAGCACCTCCTGACTTCCACAAGGGAAATACTTCCAAATCCACCCGGGCCAGGGCAGGAGTCTCTGCTGGGATCTTCAGGGAGCTCGGGGCCAGAACCAAAAGTTGCATCCCCTGCAAAATCCAGGCCACCTAACTCTGTACTTCCCAGGTAAGTCCTGCATTGGCGATAGAAGACCTGAGTCCTTAGTCAAGGCATTTTACCTGGCTGGGTGTGCGGTGTGTGTGGTCTGATCATGCATCAGTTGGAAATCATAATAGCACCTCATAAGGCGCTTCTAAGTTCAAATGAGATCCTGTGCATAAGGGGCTCAGCCCAGTGCCTGCCACAAAGTGTTCAACAGATCTTACTGCTGTCATTATCATCATCTTTGTCATATGTAGCAGCAGCAGCCTTTCTAGCAAACCTTTTATCAGACAGTAAGTGTTTTTATAGAGCAAGAAATAAAAACCTGGACCCGTAACATGCCAAGAAAGCTGCTCTTCTGAGCCACCTGTTTGGGGTTTTATTTGGTTGTCCTGAACCGAAAACAGAACTAAAGCCCATGTGGATTAAAACAATTTAAAATCCACAAATGTCTGTTTTGATGGGCAGTGGACCAATTATGGGGCAAGGGAATATCATATTTATTTTAAAATATTATTATAGAATAATTATAACTCCATAAGCAAGGTACCAGGTTAGTCTCTCTCAGGCAGGGGCATAGAGAAAAATGAACCTAGGCTCTGCTTTTCAAAAATTTAGAGTTGAGGAAATGAGATAAGACTCAAATATCCACGCTTTGCATAAAAAGGAAACATTAATAATACTCAATGAGAACTAGAGATAATGACCTTATCTGATGGTTTTTTTTCATGCATGCAATGTGTCTCGGAGAGTAATTGTCCAATAAGCAAGTAGGGTTTAAGAGAACATCATTAGAAAGGAAGAGCAGGGAGTTGATTTTTAAAGCAGAAATTAATCTTTGGTGGCAGTTGATCCCGATCTACCAGCTTCTCACCCTCATGCACTTTGCACTTTGGTACAAGTCTGACAGCAGAGTCCCTCTGTCATTATGGCCATGCGCAGCTTCAGGCATTCAGGAGGGAGCAGTCAGGTGGAATTGCCACCCCATCGTCATAGCCAGCCACTGTTGTGTCATTGCCATCACTCACTTTGCAAGATCGTTTTATAACTCTTTCTCAGTGTAATACCGGGTAGTAATTAAGGATATTACCCTTGTTTCAGAGTTGAAGAAATAATCTGTTCCAAACTTCTGGAAAGGTCTCTGTATACAGTAGTCCCCCATATCTAAGAGCCCAGTG